GAGCCGCTCTTACTTGCGTTCGGTGTTGCGGTTCCTTCTGTCCCGTTCTGCTTGCTGTCCTGGGCGTTATTCCCCTCTGGCCTGCTCTTGAGTTCTGGTGCCATCTTGGTCATTGGCCTGGGTGGTCTCTTTCCTTCTCGTTTTGGTCTGTTTTGTCTGTGGTCTTGGTTTTTAGGTTAGGGCGCGTAGCGTCCGCCTCCCGGTTCCTTCCCTGTTTTCCTTATCTGTGGTAAGGTAGCTCCGGGGAGTCGACGGGGCTCCCCCCAGAAAACCAGCGTTGAATGTAATGAAACACCATTTTCTGGGTGAGTCCCGGAGGCTCCCTGGCATCCCTCCCTCCCTCCGGTCGGCGGCGTTTTTTGCATATTTTGACATCCAGCCTAAGAACTGCCAGTTGGATTGCCGGCGTGGAGGGTCTGGGGCTCCCCCATCCCCCTTCCGGGGAGGGGGGGGGGGTTCCGCAGACGGTGGCGCGGCGACCTGATGACGTCATGCTAGTTTAATAATTTTGTTTGGGGAGTTCTGTCCAATCGTTCTGCTTTCGGTAGCAATATTTTCACCAGAATAGGGCTTTGTTTTGGGGCGTCTACCTTTCTGGGTGCCTATCCCGGTCGTTGGCAGACATAGAATGCTCCCAACCACAAGGGGGTTTCTATAGGCCATTGCTCCTCGTGCCTCTCTGAGGGGGCTAGGTTCTGGCTTGTGGTCCCCGGTAGGCAAGAACTCCTAGCATTTTGACTGATGCCAGAAAGTTATACATATCCATTCAGCCTGGATAGCTCTGGAAAGCCTCCGGGACTCACCCAGAAAATGGCGTTTCATTACATTCAACACTGGTTTTTTGTGTCTTTTGGTCTCTGGCCCTCTCGCAATTTCTATTGAACCAATCCTGTTTCCTAGTTCTGCATCTCTGTTTTGGTATAAATTTTTTTGTGCCTTTATCATATATTTCACAAAACTTGACATACATCTCATTCACTTCCTTGCCTAGCATCAAGTCTGTCCAATTATACTCACTAAAAAAATTTCTAAGGTCGCCATAATGTCCTCTCCTGAAGTCAGGTTTTTCAGTTTGCTTCAACCTCCTTATTTTCTTCCAGATTATAATGCATTGCATACTTTATTCCCAAAAGACATGGTCACTTTTACCCAAGGGAGGAAGGTACTGAAATGTCAAATACAAGTATCTCTTCCTCCTTCCTGGTAAATATCAAATCTACCATGGAGGGAACGTCCCCTTCCCTCATCCTCATAGCTTGTTTAACATGTTGATACAAGAATGTTTCCAGATGAGGTCTACAAATCTACAGGTCCAAAAATCTTCTGTTTTAGCTTCATATGCTTCCCAGTCTATGGATTTCAAGTTGAAGTCACCGACTATCAACAGTCGTGATCTATCATTATCCGCTCTCGCTCTAATCTCTCTCATAATTGTTGTAAGACCTTCTCAATTACTATCTAGCTCCTCCTTTGACCATGTGCTGCTTGGCGGTGGACTATATGCATTTATGATCATTAGTTTACCATCCTCATGGCAGATCTCTAGTGCTATTATGTCAACTTCTTGTGGATTGGCAGTCATTATATCCTTCACCTTTAGGTGTTCTTTCACCAACACAGCAACGCCACCACCTTTCCTAATTTTTCTGTCCTGTCTCCAAATTGTGTAGCCCCTTGGGAATATGACCTCATTTAAAATAACATCTTCAAATTTTGTCTCCGTGAGTGCAACAATGTCTGGTGTCTGCAGCTGTATTACATGACTTAACTCCAGTATCTTTGATCTCACCCCGTCTATGTTGGTGTATGCAATCTTCAGGAACTTGTTTCCCCTCTCCTTATTCTTCACTCCCCCTCTCTCTATTGATTTTGTTGGTTTGCCTTTATGTACCACTTTACTGGTCTGCCTACCCCTATCACTTTGTAGAAAAAAGAATTGATTTCTTCTTCATTCCTGCTCTCATTTAAACGTTTTGCCTCGGCGAGTTTCAGTTTCAGCTTCTCTCTGTCTTCTTTTGAGAGATCTCGTCTTAACGACCACACTTTCCCATCTTCATCACTTTGTAATTTTTTAGCATTCCTTAGTACTTCTTCCATCTGTTTGGCACCGTTTAGGGTGATCCTCAAAGGTCGATCTTTCCCTTTTACGTATCTGCCTATTTTCCTGTAGTTGCACACATTCTCTATGGTTGTAAGACCTTCTACAAGGCAACAATTTTATCTACTACTTTCGCTTCTTCTACAGCTCTTTCTGACCTAAATGTTATCTCCTTTTCTTTGCAACCAAAAATTTCAGGGACTTACTCCGATCAACTGTGTTTTGCACCAACTTCGGGTTAGATGCCAATTCCTTTCTCACTTCCAGTCTAATGCTTGTTTTATCTTGGTTGCTGCAGTGTTTGGCTTCCTTTATTACTTCTTCAATTCTTTCCTTCTCCTTGGCCACTTGTGCATAAGTGAGTTGCATATCTTTCTTGCACTGTTCTATTCCCTTTATAACTTCCTCCATCTGTGCTGACAAAAGCTGTTTCTCCTGTTGAATTTCCTTACTTAACCTATTGTAGTCAATTACTGGTATGTTTAAATTTACTTTAACTTCTTCCATAGCTATTTTTAAGAGGTTATTTTCTTCTTCCATGGCTTTGCAATTTGTTTCCAATTGATTCTTATCCTTGCACAAGTCTTTCACTAAACCCTCAAGACATAAAACTTTGCTATTCAAATGGTCATTACTTTCTTTCAATTTACTAATTATTTCTACAGGAGAGTTCACTATAGTATCTAATTTTACCAACTTGTTGTATAGACTGGTTATATCAATGCTTTCTTCATTGAATCTCACAAAATCAAGCTCTGCTTTGTATTTCCTCTTGCCAGCGGCCATCTTGAATGTTGTTCTCTGCACTGGAAACACTAGGACAACTTTTTCTCATCTGATTTTTCACTTCCCTTAGCACATAACTGTTATCTCACCTATTTTTCAAAAGCACTATACCGTTATGTACTCTGGGACACCACTCACTATCATCAACGTGTACTACAATACTTAGGATTGTTGAATATGCTGGAGCTCCTCTGATGCAAGTGTTGACCCTAGGGGTGTCACCTTTTGAATGTGCAGAAACACGTTTTGAATGAGCAGAAACCCCCCTGTGCAGAGGGGTTTCTGCTCTTTTGGTCTTGGTAGTCGATTTGTTCGGTTGCAGCCTTCTTATCTGGTGAAGAACGTGACAGCTGCTTTCCGGAGGGCTCCTTGGTTCATTGATGCTTGGTTGTTCAGGCCGGGGGTGCATCATGTGTTGTGTCCGGTTGTGGCTCTTCGCCGTTACCTGCACACCTTGGCTTCTGTGGCCAGGGATGTGCTTTGTGTTGATCCGGTTTCACTCATTTCCTGTTCCAGAGCTTGGGTCTCCCAGGTCGTCCACAGGATTATTACGTCTGGCCAGCCTGTGGTCTATCCTCGTGGCCATGATGTTTTTAAGGGTGCTGCTTTAGCTGCCATCTTCGGCACTATGTCTTGGGCTGCTCTTTGGGCGTGGGGATTTTGGAGGTTGAATAGGGTCCTGCCAACCCATTCACTGGTCGACATTCCAGGTCCTGGGTGTTTGTGTGTGGCTTTGGGTCGCAGATTGCTGCTAGTTGTCTCGTCCTTGAGTTGAGGAATGTGTGGCGGCTGCTTCCCGGGTATGTCTCTCTTTTCGTTATCTTTGGTTATGTAGTTCCAGGGAACCGAAAGGGGTCCCCACAGAAAACCAGCATTGAATGTAATGAAACGCCAGTTTCTGGGTGAGCCCCGGAGGCTCCCTGTCACACTCCCTCCCTCCGGTCGGCGGTTTTTGCACTGTTTTGATGCTTAGCCTTCGAACTGGAGTTGCTGGGTAGCTAGCGTGGGTGGGGTCCAGGGCTCTGCTGTTCCCCGTCCCGGGGGAAGGAGGAAGCTGTGTGGATGAGCGACACGACAGTGTGGCGTGATGTTTGCTCATTTCCTTGAGAATTGAGGGAGTTCTACCTCTCTGTTCGGCTTTTGTTTGCATTTTTCTTACCTTGTGGGATCTGTTTTGTTAAGCCTACCTTTCTGGGTGCCTAACCTCGGTCAATGGCAGATAAGGTAAACTCCCTGGTAGGCAGAACTCCCATTGACTAAAGCCCTGGTCTAATGTATCAGATATTAGCCCGGTAGCTCCAGGGAGCCTCCGGGGCTCGCCCAGAAAATGGTGTTTCATTACATTCAACATTGGTTTTTCTGGATGCCTTCCTTGGTATGGAGGTGAGAATAAATGTCACTGTTCCCTGCACCTCTGTGAGGGGAGGGGGGGGGGCGGGGTCAGATTCACGAAGCAGTTACGCAAGCACTTATGGAACTATACATCTTTTCTCAATCTTTGGTGGCTTGTTTACAATTTTTAAACGGTTAATGAGTTCCAAAGTACCAGGAGGCTGTTTATAACAATAACAACAGTTGATTGGGAGGTCTTCATGCTTTTAAACTGGTTTAATAAATGTAACCAAAGCCGTTAAAGATTGAGGAAAAATGTACACGTTTGTAAGTACTTGCGTAACTGCTTCGTGAATTTGGCCCTAGGTCCTGGGGCCAGATTCACAACTCTGGTCCCCAATAGACCTCTAGAACTCTACGGCTGATGTGACATAGTGCAGGTAACCATTTTAGCTTATAGTTTTTGTGAGCCACCAGAGCTCACCCAGAAATTGGCTTTTCATTACATTCAATGTTCATTGTGTCAGAATAATGCTATAATGTTCTCTACTATTTCTATATTAGTTTTCTATATATTATTTTCCCCCAAACAGGCAATTACCATAATATTTTGCTCTTGTTCATCCATTACAAAAAAATATAAGATTCATCTGAATTAAAAGTTTGTCTTCTATTTTATTGTTTGAATATTTTATTCATTACTGGTTTGATTAGCAAAGATGATGGTATATCGTATTTGACATGTACAGTAATTGTTTTTGAAAGTAATTATTATTTTGTAAAGGTCGTTTGGAATCAAATGATCAAGAGTTGATGACAATACAAGACCGGCATGACAAGACATACATACTTAGTCCAGTAAGTAGCCTATCATGTTCTGTATTGAAAATGAGATACAGTATTGTATACTGTATTTGTATTTGTGCTAACTATTTATACTTATATGAAACTTTTATTAATGTGGTATTTGTTGTAATTACTTAGTGTTTTCTGGGCTAGTCCTCATGGTAGTTCTTTAAAGCTTAACACTTTGGTGCACCCCGCTCGCCACCCCTCAACTGTGCGATATGGGACCCAGGGTGTCACGGGAGTGCGCGTAAAATCTGAAAAGTGTATACTCTCTTCAACTTTGTCACCTTAATTCTCGTCCTACGAGATTAAGTTTGGTATCAATTGTGTTCGCAATAGAATTCTCTACAGCACTAAATGCATATAAACTCCAAAAGCCCGGCTAATTACCCGCAGCAAACAGAGAAAGTGCGAATGAGTTACCCAGGAGCGAGCAAACGCGATAAAATGTTTTCACTATTTTCACTCTGGTCACCTCAATTTTTATCCTAGGTCTTTCATTTTGGTCTCAATGGGTTCGCAATAGAATTCTCTAGAGGAACATTAGCATATCAAATAAAAAACCTGGTCACGCTCCAACCGCCGACGAGTTGAAGACGGGCCACGTGTTAGCCGCTAGTGAGCGCTCAGACGCCTTCCAGCTACACTCCCAATTCCCGCCCTTTTCAAGCCTTTCTTTCGCAATTTTCTTCCTGGAAGGGCCTTGTTCATGATCACTATCCATCGTGGAGTAAGCGTAGATAGTTTCTAAAGCCGCAGTAAGAAATATAGCCACGGAAAATAGCCAAAATGTTCACACATTTGAGATGCGAGGGGAGGCGACATTGGTCACAACAGTGGAGCGAAAACAATGGGCCCACGGCCTGTGCCAAGCCGCCTGAGGGCCACGAGGCTCAACAAAGAAAATGGGAAGACATCGGCGCGCATTTTAAAACCAGTCCCCAAAAAATTGGATAAAAACCTGATTTTTGGCGATTATTTAAAGTGGATGACGCAATGCTGCGTCATGCCCGGGCGAAAGTGTTAATGATGTTGACTCGAGCTCCTGTGTCTAGGAAAATCTTAACATGTCGACCCTTCAGAGTGGCTGAAATCAGAGGACCTTCTGTGTCCTTGATAGGCATCCTGTTAAACATGTTATTACGAGACTGACACGGTCGATGTGGTGTCTGGAGTACATGTACACGAGTACCGTCAGTGTGTAGTTCGTCCATGTTATCCTCCTCTGCTAAGGTACCGTACCTGTTACAGGTAGGCACTGAGTATACAGGGAGGTCGTCTCGCTTCCCTATGTCATACCGCTTACCCAGGCTGCTATACCTTTCCCCGACTGAGAGTCATTGTGCTGATCTGTGTGTTCGTAGGTCGTGTCTGCATTATCCTTGATGGCTGTGGCGCCGTTTGTCACGTGCGAGTCACAGTGTCCATCTGTGTCGTGACTGTCAGTTGTTGCATACCTAACATGGGCAGTTGGTCGGGTTGCAGGGCTACGTGTAGGGCTCGATCGGCGCTGGTTAGTTGTTGCAGCCTGTGGTTGCTTACGGGAAGGAGTAGGACTAGAACGGTTAGCCTGGTTAGTACCGTGGCGGGCTCTACAGTCAGCAGTGTCATGTCCAGGTCGGCGGTGATATGTGCAATAAGAACGGGTCTGATCATGTGATCGGCCTGTGTAGTTATGTGTACCTCACTCATAAGTCCAGTGTACCAGTGTACACTGGTACACTGACTGGTACACTGGTGGTACACTGACTGGTACCTGTGAGTGTACCACCAGTGTACCGTACGAGTTGTTTGGTGTCGGCCTTTCCCTGGGCTCGGTTCCTTGTCCTTTGAGTCAATTGGTTCCATCCTGTAGGTGGGTGCTCTTCTTCGTTGCTCCCCCCTTTTTTGGGATGGGGTATTTTCATCATGTTTCCCCGTTATTGGGGTTCTACATGACTTTTGGTCTCGGGTGCGACTGTGCCTTTGTGTGCCTTCGGAACTGGTGTTTGCTTCTGTGTTCTCGAGAGTTCGGGTAGGTTTTCGTTAATTCCCGTATTATTGGAATGTCTGTCGGCTCCAAGTCTGGGTCGCCGGATTGGGCTACTCGTGGTCCGGTTGGCTTCCTATTGGGCTCCTTTGCTTCGTTGGTCGGTTATGTTGTCGCTGCTTCCTCTTTTGGCTCCTGTTCCGTGTGATGGGTTGTTTTTTTCTAATTAGCGGTTCCCTAGGGTTGCGTTCTGTTTGGCTACTTTTTCTGGGGGGAGCCCCGTCGGCTCTCCGGAGCTATCCCAGGCTGATATGCTAATGTCAGACTTTGGCATCAGTCATGTGTATGGAGTTCTTAGGCCTACCGGGGACCACGGCCAGAACCGGGCCCCCTCAGAGAGGCAAGGGGGAGCAATGGCCTATAGAAGCCCCCGTGTAGTTGGAAGCATTCTATGTCTGCCATCGACCGGAACAGGCACCCAGAAAGGTAAGCGCCCCAAAACAAACCCCTATTCTGGTTAAAATTGCTACCTAAAACCGAACTAGTGGATAGAACTCCCCAACCGAAACCAAGCAAACTAGTGTGACATCACACACTGCCGCGCCGCTGTCTGCGCAGCTCCCCCCTCCCCGGGAGGGGGAAGGGGGAGCCCCAGACCCCCCGCGCCGGCTACCCACACCTCAGTTCTTGAGGCTGGATGTCAAAAACGCGAAAAACCGCCGACCGGAGGGAGGGAGGGATGCCGGGGAGCCTCCGGGACTCACCCAGAAAATGGCGTTTCATTACATTCAACGCTGGTTTTTTGTGCAGTAGTCCTAGTTGGCGCCTTCCCACAGAGCGGGTTGTGCTGTTCGGCCAGTGTGTCCTGCGCATGTGCCATGGGAGTTTGTTTTGGTCTGGGTGGTGTGTTTCAGTGCTGGTGTTTTGTGCCCTTTTTTCTCAGGTGCTTTGCCTCTCGCTCTCCTCCCTTCTCCAGTATATGCCCTGTCGCTCCGGGGGTGTCCTGGATTACAGCTGTGGGGAGGACACCGAGGTTTTCCCTGTGTCATGGGTGTGGGCCTCTTCCTTCGCCTCTACCCTGCTCTCCTGCGTGTCCGGCTCCAGCTTCTTCACCTGGCGGTGCTCCCAGGATCTTCTTGGCACTGTTGGGTCATGTCACGTTCGTGCCTCCGTTCGACAGGTGAGTTTCTGCGGTCTGGCATCTTTCAGCCGGGCGCTGGATTTGAAGATGTTAATATACCTCTCTTTATTTCGGTATATTTATGTACAAATGAGACCGTCGGCACACCGGTGACTGAACCTTTTCAACCCTTCCAGTCCCACTCATAGGCATGTCCAACCCATGCTAGAGTCATTCAGGAGACCCACCTCTTTCGTGTTATGAGGTGTATGGGTTGTGGTGCTGGTTTTGTACTCACCTGGTTGGGCTCGCCTGGGTGTGCTTGCGGGGTTTGAGCTCTGGCTCTTTGGTCCCGCCTATATGGAAGAACATGCACGATAGTACCAGTGGAGAGCAGTGGTGCCATTGGCACAATCGGGGAACATTGTATAAACATCGGAGGTCTGCGGTTGTTAAATGTTCTACCTGCGAGCATAAGACATATTGCCGGTACATCCGTGGACATCTTCAAGACAAAACTAGCCTGTTTTCTAATAGAGGTTCTGGACCACCCTGGTTGTGGTGGGTATGTGGGCCTGCGGGCCGCTCCAAGCAACAGCCTGGTGAACCAACCTCTCACGAGTCAAGCCTAGCCTCGGGCCGGGCTTGGGGAGTAAATGAACTCCCAGAACCACATCAAGCAGGTATCAAGCAGGTATCTCCGCTGTCGATCGCCTGGTGTGCAGGTTCCTGGGCCTGCTGGGATCTGTCGTGTCTCCGTTGGCCCTGTCTGGGGTCGGCCTGGAGTCTGCCTGCACCATTCTCTGATTTGCAGAGACAAGTTGCTACATACATGTTGCATGTGGTGCATGTTGCTGCTGAACGTGTGCATTGGTAACGTGTTTCGCGGTGGCTTGTCCTTGCTCCTGTATCAGGTTGTGGTGTGGCACTTTGCTGCTGTTTTGTGCCTGGGGTTTGCATATGGGGGTTTGCTTGTGTTATTTTTCGTGGTCTTCAGGTCCCTGGCTTGGCCCTTCCATGTGCGTGGGATTCTGTCCACGCCCGATTGTCCACTCCTGGTTGTGTTTCCTGGGGTTTGAGCTTTGGCTCTTTCGTCCTGCCTCTCCCCTGTCGCTTCCCTGGCATCTCCTTTGCTTGGTTTTGCCTGCACTTGCTGCTGTATGGGGGTGGGGGGGTCGGTTTCTGCTGCTTCCCTTCCTTGTGCATTTCCTTTGTTTCCTCCTCTGCCGCAGGGGTTTTCTTTGTGCGTTCATTAACTTCTTGGGCGTTTCTTCAGCCTGTGTCATATGGTGCGCTTATGTGTCTTGGTCTGTTTTCGTTGCTTGTACCCCTTGGTTCGGGTACTGGTCTGGTAGCAACCCTTACACCTTCTTCGGTTTTCCTGGCTTGCCCTGCCTGTTGGCTTTTCAGGGTCTTGCGATGTCTCGCATTGGACCTGTCGTTTCTGATCTCCTGGTGGGCTTGCTCGCATTGGGGAGCTTTCTGTTCAGCAGACGTTCCATCTCCTTTTTTGCCGGCTTGGCTTCTTTGGTGGTCGCGCCCGAGATCTTCCCGCGGCTCCTTTTCCTGGGCTCGGATGAGCCTTGTCGGGGCTGATTACGTTCTGCCTCGCGTGTCTTGCCTCCGGTTGGTGGTCTGGTGGCTTTGTTGTTGGTGTCCCACCTGCGTGCTTCTTCTTGGGGGCAGTATGGGGTATTTTGGCGGTCCTTCCTTTTCCTCCTGTCCCTTCTTAGGTGGCTGTGGTTGTTAGCGTCGGCTTGGTTTTTCAGGTGGGGGTTGGGGGCCGTCATCTTGCCACATACTGTCGCCTCGTTTCGTGCGGCGCTGGCGGAGCCGCTTCGGCTTGCTTTCGGTCTTGGTGTTGCTTCTGCACCGTTAGTAAGCTATCTCGTGCATTGTTTCATCTCCGGCCTGTTCGTG